TATCGTTTATTGCTCAATTAATAGGTTTCGATGTGGTGTTATTAATTTACCTTTATTAATTCCCTGATTAGCTGGTGAAATCCACTTGGGTTTTTATTCACAGGTCTGTATATATTACTAGAAAAAAGCCGGGTGTGGAACAAGATATTCTAAATGAAACCTGAATACATCGTCTTTAATCTCAAATATAGTCGTGGTAGAATCCTGATGCAGGGATGGTTGTCTTCAGCAGGAACAAAGTAGGGTTAAATACTGGGGAATGAAAAGGGAAAACCTGTTAAAGGCTAAAAAAGACTGAAATTTGAGGCAGAGGTTTACTTTTCAGTCAGATGTTGAGCTAAAAATAAAGCCAGAGCTACAGTAGAGCAGTTTGGACTAGTGATAAACCAATATGTTGGTCGGCTATTTTTTATTTTCTTTAGCCAATAATTAGCTGAAACTGTCATTTTTTTTCAGCTGATATGTGCACGCATTCCCAGATTCATTAGCACATTCAGCAGCTATCGGGGTTGGGCATCATTTGAATTGGAACAATTCCGATTAAAATTCCTCGTTTTGATTTCAGTTCCTATTAGGGATGCACGATAGCCGATAACCAATATCGATACCGATGTTAAAGCTGGACAATAATAAGTAGTCATTGAAAATAGCAGTTTTATTATCCATTTCTGACATTTTGAAAAATAATATACTCAAATATATTTTCATATGCTGATATCAAATTGATTTTTCAAAATGCGGTATCAATCTATTTTACTTTCAAAATCTCGTGAAATTTCATCGTTCTGTTACAAACTCTCGTGATAGTTTGCAAATTCTTGTGAGATTTTGTTAGTAAAATAGATCGATACCGCGTCAATATATCAACATATAAAAATATGGCAAAATTTCATGAATTATTGGGGGATTTCATAGCATAACGATGACATATAGCAATATTTCATTAGTAAAAGAGATTGATATGGTGTTTTTAAATGGCAATATATCAGCATATGAAGATATTGAAGTTTTTAAGTCTGTTTTAGATTAAAAAACTAGTTTTTTAGACTTTAGAAACTCAGAAGCTGATCAAATATCGGGTTAAATATCGGTGGGGTGGCCGATGTCCGATATTCAGTTTTAAGGCCGATACAGGCCGGTACCTAACCCTAAGTCCAATGGCTGGCTAACCAGAGCTCTGTCCAAATGAAATAATCTGAACTTTTTAATGGAATTTAATTCTTTGAACATCTAACTTTGTGTGGATGTTACTATAAATGATCACATCGTCATTTTCGACAGATAAGATAAATATCTAACCTATGAGCTCTAATATTACTTATATCTCCCAGTTACACTTTAACATGGAGCTTTATCATTTAAAGCACATTTACACATATCCAGTGTCTGACGCTGCAAGTACTTATGTCATATAAGTCTATCTTAAAACCTGATTGTGACTGCAGGCGGTTCTGTGTCTGAGCTGGAGGAAAGAATATTGCAGCAGGAAAACATCCTGACAGATTTTATAACCTCACGGTCCTTTACTACCTCGGCTTTACTCAACTAGACATGGACGTAGTGATGTTTCACTTTTGTGGACAGAGGAATGATCAGATATCAAACTCCATCATTCAGTAAGCGGGTTTTACCACATGAAATGGATCCCAAATGAACTAAAATAAACAACGGGTGAAGTTACCCTTTAAATTATTGATAAGTTCGGCAGCTCTACGTTAAAGAACTTTCCATTCTGTTCAGAACACAGGAAAAGAGGAGGGTATCTTTTAAGGGAAAAGTCCAGAATTCAATCTTCTGAAAGTACTTTAAATATGAAATTATTACATATTGTTAAAAAAATAAGTGTCTTTAATTAAGAGTAATTTTCATGTGAATGTGTTTTACTGGAGGCATCCATGTTTGTCAAAGAACACTACTGCCACCTACTGGTTTGTGACGTCACGGTGTGGTATCGACTGTTGATCAAGTCCCAGTGCTGTATCTGGTGTTTGTCACGACGTGCTATTATCCAAGTCATCTTGAAAACATTCTTCTTCCAAATGTTGGCTACATATTACGTGTTTTTTCTCTGGCCAGAAGTTCGATGGCAAATCCTCCCTCTTCAAGTTGGCGATCCAACGACCAACCCGTCCGTGGAGGATCAGGAATCAGAAAGATGAAATAACAAATTTTTTGACCACTCTTACCCAGTGTATTCCAACATCCAGCTGCCATGCACGTGGGCATTGTCAGTTTCACTATAGCTCTGGTGAATTTCAATGGTGAAGTCCTCTGGAAATCTTCAATAATTGTTGTTGATTGCAGATGTGTCTAGTAGTTCCCATTGATTTAGCTTGTAAAGCGGGGAGAATGGCGCTAGGCTTACCGCACCGTGACGTCACTGCTGGAAGATGGCAGGAGGGAGAGGTTACTATATTTGGGCAAAAATGGCCGCTCCCAGACTGATTGCGCCGAAAAAAAGTCTTTATGTTTTACTAATTAACGCTAAATTCATTAAATCACCGCAAACATATTCGTTTTAGGTATAAATAATGATCCATTAGTTATTTCTTACAGACCGGACTTTACCTTTAAGACGTGAAGTAAAAGAAAGTATAATAAAAGGCTCCGCTCTCCCTGCAGAAGGTGCGCTATGAATTTAGAGGAGGACTATGTTGCCACTGGGAGCCTATTTTAGCACAACACCGGTGCAGTGGGTCAAAGGTGAGGCTCTCATCCCGCGCTTGATAATGTTTAATCATGTCGGCCGTGCGTCGTCCTTTGCATAATATAATCCCATCACTACTGAGGCAGGTAGCTCACTGGTCCTTTCTTTATTAACTCAAAGACACTTTTTCAAAAGTGGTTGCGCACATTCCTGCTAATTTACCTTCGCTGATATTAGGCAGCTTGTATATCTGGTTGGCGAACTGTATAGTGGACTTTATAGCAAACTCAGTTAACTGACCGTTCGGACAGATGATCACTGCTTTTTGCTTCCCTTTGATCACGTAATTCCTCCTCCACAGTGCTGTGCCTGCGCCATCTTTGTTAGTCGCAAATTAGTCAAATTCCAAAATGCTTTGCAAGGGAGCTCTCCGCTCAAAGCATTCTGGGTTACGTCTGCGTCTTCTGAGACCTTTCTCTTCCTCTTCATAGACACTTTTTCTCTTACAACCCTCAACCATTTTTAAAGAACCGCGGTGAGAAAGATGAGCTTCAAACCTGTCTGAAACTGTAGCTCACCACACATATGCGCCTGAAAGTGCGCATGCACAGAATAATACAGCTAACCGGACGAGCACATAGAACGGCCTTACGTAAACATATCACCAGAATGATTTACAATTAGGAGGACCAATTATTTAGATGATCCACCCGGAAATAAAAGCTTGTCCTCTATGCCTTTTAGTCAAATTGAATTGTCAATTTGTTGCAAAATTTAGAGACGTTTTAGAGATTTTTGTCTTGATTTTTCTTTTAAAATCAGTAAAGACATATCCCAAAAGTCTTGCAGTTGGTTGTGCAGCCTTTAATAGGATTTCCAAATCCTAAACCATGGCAAACTTTTAAGATTTCTGTTTCTAAAAATGAACCAAAACTTGTGTAATTCTCCTTACGGTTATGACATGAAAAACAGAAAAAGCCGGGCAGTATGAAAACTGTGCAGGACGTTTTTTAAAGAAATCCTAGTGTTTTATATTAAGGCTGTATTGTTAGTCTGGCTCCTCTGTGTGCTGTGACATGCAGATTTTAGAAGAATGTTGTCCTAGTTGTATCCTCCTCCCTCTTTACGCAACTGAGGCCAATATTGTAGTTTATACTGGGGGTATGAGGTTCAGACGATTAGTCTCGGGTCCTTGGGTGGCTATATTTAGATCTTTGATCATTTTGAATCAGAAAAAGAAATTGGTGAAGCGTAACCCCAAGTTACCAGAGATATTTTGCTGTGGATGGATTGTACCCAACTGTATAAAATGTAGACCTAACTCAAATGATTTGTTTTCTAAATTGGTCAAAGAAGAAATTGAGGTCCGTTGGGCAAGATGAGAGAAAACCATGAGAGGGAGAGCAGATGGGGAGGTGCAAGAAGTCTCTGAGGAAGGAAAAGTGAGCTATACCCTATGCCACACAGCTTAGGCCAAAAATTTCAGCATCTCTCCCAACACTGTCTGGGTCTGTAAGGAATCTGAAGCCCTGGATGTTTTATTTTCCCCAAAATGATGCACTAAGAATGTCACTTCTGCTTTCATTCTAAGGATGGTGCCAAACACACAGCAGGTGCACAAAAAACAACAGGTTGGATCAGGATAGAGCAGGAGAAAAATGCAACATTTTATCTGTGTGATTTAATTGTATTGGGCACCACTAATACTGAATTGATACCATGCTAAGAAATACCTCTATGTTTTTCTTTTGGAGTCTACAAACCTTTTCATTATCCCCCCCCCCCCAAGGAAGACGGAGGTGAACAGAGGTTCATCTAAACTAAAAATAGTAGGAATCCGGTTGCATAAGTGTCCAGGTGTCTCATGGAGGTATAGTGGTTTAAAATATTAGGAGGGTATTACGTCTCTTAGAAGCTTAAAAGAAAAAAGGGGCTGCATGATGACAAAAAAAACCTTTTAATTAAACATCAATGGGTAAATAAGAAGATGATATTAGAAAAGGGAAATCAAGCTACAAGAAACATGAAAACTATGAACCAAAGAATGAAGGAAAGAGAAACAGGTTGAGGGGAGCAAGAAGATGAGGAACGGCTGAGTGCTGAAGAATAGAGAGGGGAGTTACATGAGGAGACAGAACCTGAGACCAGGAGGTTGTTAAAGTCTTAATGGGAGCAGCAGGGGAGTTGTTAAAGAGAAGGTGAAGGAGTGAAGGAGGCAGGAAGTGCGCTAGAGTTTTAAACAATGAGTGCTTGCTTGCTTTATTTGCTGTATGAAGGAAACTATCCAATAACCCGCTCTGTTTTGTTTTCTCTCTCCTTCCCCTCCTTTTTTTCTCTTGCTGTTTCCTTCCAGGCTGACTCACCCCAAGAGTGCCTGAACACATACGGAGAAGTTTCAGAGAACCTTCAAGCGAGGAGCGCTGTGAAACGGAGCTGAAGAAGGAAGGCGGGGAGAAGAGGAGAAGGGGGAGAGAGACAGACGATAGCAAGTGAAAAGGGGAGCTGCATCTTCACTGACGAGGAGAAGAGAAAGTGAATATAGAGAAAGAACGAAGAAAAAGTTTATTACAGAGCAAAGAAGGTGAAGAAAAGGTGCAGATCCGTCAAAAGGTCGAGCTGACCGCTCCGAGTTCTGAGGGAAAACAACCTACCCACTACGCCTCCGACTGCTGTCTCAGAAAGGTCACCACACTGGGAGAACTGGGAGAGCTGGTGTTGAGGAGAAGCCACCATGAGCGACCAGAACGTCGTCAAGGAAGGCTGGGTCCAGAAAAGAGGTCAGGCTGTTTTCAACACATTTAGATCTGCTCTTTTCTCTCCTCAAAAACAAACCGCTGTCATTTTATGTCGTATTGCTCATTTGACTGAAAGAGGGAAATGTTCTGGTCCAAGATTCAGCTCAGGATCTACTGATGTGTTCCACCGTGAGATGCACAGCATCCCCATTACCTCCAAAAAACACTGGGTTAATCAATTATATAAAAACGCATCAAGCAGCCCCATTCAGTAGATGGCTGATTCCATAATTACAATAAAGACGATGTAATATGTTTCGATCGGGTCCCACATACACAGAACTGCTGCCCTAAATACTCATTAGAGCACCAAATGAGGATTATAATGGTGCTGAAAATAGACCCAGGAAGTGCATTTCATTGTTTTTACATAATCTTTGACTTAACTGATCTGCTTTTGCTTTCCAAATCAAAACTTTTAGGATTTTCACTTTTGTTTTCCTGCAATCAGACTTCAATAGATGTTAGTTATTCTGCTCAAAGGACAAATACGGTTAGTTAAGATTTTAGATTTTTAGTCCGCGTCATGTTTCGGATTTGTCTATCGCATTTTTCACAAGTTTATGGGAAGCTTCGACGTTTAGTTGAAGAATTAAAGAACCCATTTATGTCTCAATTACAAATACAAAGTAAGGGTTAAATAAATATTGGGATGACATGATCCCATATTGATGTCAGAAATTTGCTAATATCAGCTACAAAAAAAAATCTCCAATATCAGTAAACCGAAAGAAACACTCCCCTTCTGTTTAAATTTTAATTAGTTAGTAGTAGTTATTTTACTGCTATGTTCTGCTTTTGGTAATATCACTAAATCAAGCAACTTCCTATACTCCACATATGCAATTAAAAGTAAAAGTAAGCATGATTTGTGCTGATATGGTATTTGGTCAATATCAGTATTGGTCAATACTCAAAGCTGCAATATTGGTCTCAGACATAAAGTTTTTTTGAGACATCCCTAATTAAATACAACATGTAGTTTTCAGGGATTTAAATGAGTAATCGACTTATGTCCGTCTGGGGTTCTTTGCGCTGTTTAATGATGACATCTGCAAAATGATCTTTTTGGTTCTGTTTTGAAATATAAACACTCAACAAGCTTGGTAATTTGTCACATAAATAACACCCCTTGGGCTGCATGGTGGAGCAGCATGAACTTTTCTGTTGTGTTTTGAAGGCAACAAAATTATGAAAGAAATTTATTACATGATGGGGGAAAACGCTTGCTAGGAATAAGCCTAATGTGTTTCGCCTTATAGTATGTCTAGTTTAATGTCTAATAGAAAGTGTTTTATTTGGCCAGTATGTGTTTCAGCGGCTGGGGCAATAAATTGTTCAAATACAACGTATATTAATAATAAAATATATATATATTAGGGGTGGAACGGTTCACAAAATCCTCTGTTTGGTTCACGATTTCGTGGTCACGGTTTTCGGTTCGGTATATGTTGATTGTTAGCCTGACATGTTGGTCGTGTTGCTGTTAGCATAAACAAAACGTGTTGCACAATGCTTGCACACTGTTGCACTTTTATCCACAACTTTCTTTCCGCCGTCATCGTAGGTCACTCTAAATGCAAAGTGGTCCCATACAGCAGACCTATAAAGTGCTGCTGGCGCGTCTTCCAACTCCTGTTCTTTCCCACTCGCCATACCCACACAATTCTCCACAACTGTTTTTTCTCTGCTACACCCGGCTACGCTGCTTCGCTTCTTCTTCTTCTTGTTTACTACTGGTGGTTGGCTTTGGTCGCAGTACCGCCACCTTCTGCTCTGGAGTGTAATCGCTTCGCCTATGAGAAAAAGGAGCAGCGCATGAACCGAACGCAACACACGCAAACCGAACCGAGACAGTCGAACCGAACGGTTCGGACGGTTTTCATAAACCGTTCCATACATACATACATATCTATATATATATATATATATATATATATATATATATATATATTAGGGGTGTAAATCACATCCATCATGGCGATTCGATTCAGTATCGATTTCCTGACCCAACGATTCGATTATTTTCGATTCTCAAGAATACACCACGATTCGATTCTATTCGATTAATCGGTTAAATTTTTCCTTTATTATTATTTTTTTTTTTTTTACACCTTACAGGCTAAACAAAGTTTCAATTTTGAAATAAATCAATGAAAGCTGTAATATCATTATGCATTTTCTTTAGAAACAACAGCAAATAACAGAAGTAGAAAAGTTGCATCAAAAAATACTGCACAATATCAGTGTAATGAGTTCAATGCAATACCTCGGCTCCAAAGAAACTGTCACACATATTTTTTTAGAATGTAATAAATATACTCAGGAAAGAGAGATGTTGTGTAGAGAGTTAGACAGGAATAAAAATAAACTAGATATAAGGGAATTGTTTCAAAGGTCATCTGGGGATGTAGTTTTTGGTAGTATTTTTAATTTTCTAAGAAGAAATGGTATTTTAGGGAGAATATAATAGTTTGTCTGGTCCATACTCCATTCTGGAAGGTGGCGGTAATGCACCTATAAGTTGTTTGCTAACCGCCATTAAAAAAAAGAAGAAGAAGTAGACTCCTGTGTGTCGACGTCAACGCCCCCTTGAGAGACGCTCCGCTGCTCCTCTCCCAGATTGTAGCTGACTGCAAACAGTGCCGCAGACAGGAGGCCGGCTTGTTTTGTTTTTATGACCGAAATTGCGGAAAACAACTCGTGAAGTTTGACCCGCTAGAAGAGCGAGGTGCGCTGGGACCCTTTTTCCAGCTGGATCTCCGCTCTTTTTGGCTCTCATGTCCCTCCGTCGTCGGACTAAACTCGTCCCCACTTCCTCACCGCCTCGGCCGTATCTAGACCCACAGCGTGTAGCACAGACCACGCTTCAATACTGAGCATAATTTAAAAATGTCTGTGTCAAGCTCACTGCAACACACTGCTGTAAGAGTATAACCAGGAAGCGAGGTAGGAGGGCAAAATAGGTTTAGCGCCACCGCAGCATGGGAGGGAGAATTACGCCCAGGAGCAACTGGATAAAAATAGACCGGAGGAAAAAAAAAAACATGAATCGATTCTCTTGCGGACGTGTCGATGCATCGGATCGTCGGCTTTTGGATCGATGCATCGATACAAAACGATTATTATTTACACCCCTAATATATATATATATATATATATATATATATATATATACACACACACACAGAGGTTTCAAGTAAAGAAGTACAAATACTTTGTTGCTGTACTTTACTCTATTACTTAATTTTTTTTCCTACTTCTGATTTCTACCCATTAAATTTTTAAAAAGTATCTGTACCTTCTATTCCTTACATTTTTAAAACAAATGTTACTTGTTACTCATGGCTTCATTTTTATGTTTATAAATATTTATTTCATGTCACGTGCGCCATCCAATGCAGATCATTGTCGCCATCCACATCTAGTCAAAACTAGTTTGTTTTTCCTTTTCTGTTCTACTTACATTGCAGTGTCCATAAAATCTATAATACTCCCTCTGCATGAATTATAATAAAGCTATTTATATGCATAAATCAAGCGGAACACTTCAGAGATAGCCGTACAGCTCCACCTGTGAAAGCAAAATCTGCTTGGCTCTCTTTTTGGCCCATCGAGGGCGGTCTTCCCCTCTTTTTTTTTTCTCCAATCTGTGGTCCTCTACCAGAGGCCCGGGAGCTTGAGGGTTCTGTGGCAGGTTTACTCCAGCTGTTCTCTGAGCCCCTGGTATTTATTTATTTATATATGTATTTAAAAGATCTGTGAAAAGGTGTGAGGTGTGAAAACACCCTCAGTTTTTATTTTAAAGTGGTCTAGAATGGGTTTGATCCTTTCTAAATCTAGATTATGTTGCTGGGTAAAACAAACAGGAATGATTCTGCACAAAGCTCAATGGTTTTCATTATTCTGCCCTTTCTGGACTTTTTGGTTCCGTTTAAGTTTTCTTTTTGGGTTCTCAGGTATGCTTTATTTTTTGTTCGGTTTGTCAAGATTAGCATAATTTTTGAATTCCTAGTTTTACTCCCCCTTGTTTCTTTCACTTATTTCTTTTATTTATTTTGGTATCATTTATTCTTTAGTCTAGTTTTAGTTGCAGACGTTAGTTTGATTTCTTTTAGCTCATTAAGTTCTTTCATAGTCACAGTTAGATCCTGTTTTCTCTGATTATTCTTTGTTGCACTTTGATCCACATCGGCTTCCTATCAGCCGATTAATTCAATTCAATTTAGTTTACTTCTATAGCGCCAGTTCACAACCCATGTCATCTAAAGGCACTTTACAATTCAACCAGATCATCCAGTCAAATTGATTAAATTTTCTATCTAAGGAAAACCAGTTGATTGCATTGACTCATTGACTCAAAGGCAATCCCTCACACTAAGCATGCTTGTAGCGACAGTGGAGAGGAAAAACTACCTTTTAACAGGAAGAAACCTCCAGCAGAACCAGGCTCAGTGTGAGCGGCCATCTGCTGAGGCCGACTGGGGTTCAAGGAGACGGAAGCAGAGACACAAAAAGCAGCTGTAAAAGGCGGCCCCGTCCAGGAAACACACAGCCAGGCAGACGAGCTCCGAGCCAGCTCCCATGTCAGAGGATGAAGAGAGGACATTCAGTTAGTCACAGTCAGAGAAACAGGACTACACTGAAAAACAGGCCAATCTCCAACATCTATAAACAAAGGTGTTGATGGCATTATTATTATTATTATTATTATGAGCATATTTTAGGTATAAATCACTGCAGTTCCTTATCTCTCCACTGGACGTCGATGTATTTTTGTAAGATGCCCAAACCTAAACAGGTGGCAGCAATTCGCCATTAATGTGCCTAACTGGACAATTTTAACAGAAAGTCTAATGAGAACAGTGAGTCTATTTAAAGAATTTTAAAATGTGACCTTTATTACAGCTCAGATTTTAAAAGGTTAAACTACTAACTTATGTACAAAGCTGAGTGGGAAACTTGTGCGTTTGGTTCCCTGT